GGGGGGGGGGCAGGTAGGTGTGGCCAACGGTTAGCGTTGAGGGGGAGTGCTAAGGGCGCGAAGTTTCGCGATCGGCGTACCTACAAGAACCGGACACAAGAAGAGACCGTCCTAGAGAACAAGAATGCGTGCGAACCTGTCCGGTAGGTCTCGCATTTTTCGAAATTCCTTTGGGATGCGCTTCGTCGTGTAACTGCTCGACTTGAGTTTGACGCGTCAACTGGTGCTAGGATAAGGGCTGTTTTATACACAGCGCGATATTGCTTCCAAATTTTCCAAATTTTCGCATCCGTAGCCCGTGGAACCTCGATTTTTTTGCCAAGGAAAAACTTTGGAACTACTGGCACCGAAACATTTGGAACGAGTTCGTTCCAAGTCCAAATTTTCGAAAAAAAAATCAAAATCTGGACGGTCGAAATTTGGGCATTTGGAACATTTGGAAGCAAAACGCTGCGAACAAAATGGTCCAAAGGTAGTATTATTAAGCCTATCACCCCCGAGAAAAGGAGCGTAAGGGCAGGGGGCAAAACCACCGCAAAAGGGGCAGCGAAAAATGACCTCTTGAAGCACATTCTCACGGAAAAAAAGGGGCGCAAAAATAGAGAAAAAAACAAATGGGGAAGGATCAAGTTTAGAACGGGGTCTCGTCGTCGGGGCCCCGTGAGATAGATTTATGCCCTTGTAGGATTCGTGTATGTACATACATGCGGCGCCCCGGAGGTCTATCTTGGGGCTTAGTCTCGCAATAGGTTGGGTGTGTTTTATTGGGTATTTTTTTTAGATATATATTCTCATTTTCGGGGACGCAAAAAATATCGAAAGATCCTCCCTCCTCACCTGTGCACTATCTCTCACCTGTGACCACGGCTAATACCGTGTACGACACAAGATAATGCACCCCCTGGACTGATTTTCAAAGCTCGATTACTCCACGACGAAGAGGATGCATAAACGAAACGATACATTTTCGCAAAGCTCTCGACCAGACGGCTTCAACGCCGCCATTTTCGGCGCTGTGACTCTTTCTGCCGTTGAGAAATCGAGCTTCGAAAATCGGTCCAGGGGGTGTGTCATCTTGTGTCGTATACGGTACGTCAAAACATGTACTTGCACACCGACATGTAGGTGTGTAGGCAGGCGCCAGAAAAAAAAGAACGGACACGCGCATGCAGCCTATCTAGGGTGACCATCATCAACTCTGCTGCCGCATGGTCGTACTACGCACACCAAAATGTCCGCTAATGATACGGATTCATTGCCAATACATCCTGGACTCTAGACTGTGGATAGGAGATGGTGCGTTGAGTTACATTATAAGAAAAACAACAAAAAAAAACAGCAGACCCCCGCTCCACTCCTCTCCTTACCTGTGTACTATCCCTCTGACAGACTGAGGGTTGACAACGCTGCTCGCGGCACTGAAGACGCTCATGTTGTCCATCGTCACGCTGTAGGGGTCGTAATACGAGCTCCCGCTGATAGAATCTCCCTCTAGCTCTGAGAATAACGAACGAACAGGAGGGGGAGGGGGGGGGGCGTGCTCTCTATGTTTTGCATGCTTTAGCGTTTAGACCATTGACCACTAACGTCCTGTAGAGGATGGAGCATTGTTCCCACAGGACCGATCACTGATGGTCAATCGTTTCTTCCCATTTTGCCAAAGGTAGGCTCAACAATATTTTCCGTACTGGCTCAAAACAAAATCCTGGCCTGTCTATCCTCTCGATATCACTTCCCGCATTTTCAACCCATTCCGACGTCCCAGTACAGCTACCGTCCTCTCCTAGCAACGAACAGGCAGGGAGGGGCGGTTGTGTGTAATTGAAGTGAGAAGTGTTCTCGTAAGGGAAACAACAACAAAAAAAGGACCAAAAAAACAACACACACACACACAATGAAAAAAACGGATCGAAAAAAAAAAAAACGCACGCCCTAGCCTGTGTTCGTGCTTTCATCTATCCTGCTAAAGGCGTCTTTTCATTGGTCCGCCGGTTAGAGCGCCGTTGACGCCAACAATGAAAAGACACACACACGATACAAAAAAAAACGAAAACCCAACAAGTGTTGAATCAACCATGGTCGGTGAAGGAAAAAGAACTGACATGAATATCGCCGCAAACCGGGTTGGCTGCCCTCTGCCCTCACGGCCATGACCACACGGTGCACTCACGGCACTTGAACGACCATGGTAGGCAAGGAAAATGAATTGACATGCATCTCGCTGCAACCAATGTGCCCGGGTTGGCTACCGTCCTCTGCCCTCACGGCCACGACCACAGGGCGCACTCACGGCACTTGAACGACCATGGTCGGTGAAGGGAAAAATAACTGACATGAATCTCGCCGCAACCATGCCGGGGTTGGCTACCGCCCTCTGCCCTCACGGCCACGACCACGACCACACGGGGCGCACTCACGGTACTTGAACATGCTCGGAGGGGGCTCCATGCGCTCGGGCTTGAGCCCCCTGGTGAAGAACGGCATGACCGCCCCGAAGAAGACGGTGG